TCAGTCATGTTACAGGTTTCTCAGCTTCCAAGTTCAGTGAAGCTTAGCTTTATAAACACATCTGAGTGAATAGTTTGTGAAAGTGCCTATCTGGAGGAAGATTAGAAAGATGTGGAGGAATGGTGATTAAAGCCAGCGGCCGTCCAGGCTACTGCCCCACAAGCCAAAATTTAATTAGTTTCATGTTGTATATGAGTTTGTTAGGCTCATGTGAAAAATAAATTATTCTAAAGCTTTACTTAAGGTTTTTTTTTTTTTTTTTTTTTTTTTTTTTTTTTTTTTTTTTTTTTTTTTTTTTTTTTGTCTCATTCTATTTGTGAGCTCCAAAGGCAAAAGGTTGAAAACGTGGTTGAGTTGGAGATTTTCCATGAGGTTTTATGCAGGAAGTAAGATTTCAGATGGAAGAGATGTAATTGTCTATGTGTCAGAGTTGGGGGCTCTGAAGCTTACTGTAGTTTTAGTCCATACAGAGTTTTCTTTGATTGTCAGTAAGGCCAACATATACAAGATCACCTTGCCTTGGAAGTGTAACTTTTTTTCTCATCCATATGAAAGCTTTTCCTTAAACAGTTGTGGCTAATTTCTTCCCTGTTCCTGGGAGAAAACATCACATGCAATACATCTGAAAACCTACAATTTTTGAGTCACAAATATATTGTTCCCAGTTAGAAAACATTCATCTGTAAAAATTCTTTATTTCTCCCCCTTTCAACCATAATTCTCTAAATTTTCAACATCCTTTTTTATCTATCATTCTTTGCATCGTATAAAAACTTGAGAGCATTGTTAACTGGCCATAGGTCCTGTAATCAAAGTATACTATATCTGCTTCTCTTTCAGGCAGACAAGGGGCTCAAAGGGATGAATGTTTGGCAAGTTGCAGAGCATAATTATGGGGTAAATATTTTCTTGCTCTTTCTGAGGCCAAATTCTGAAAGAATTTATTGGCTAAGAAGGAGTCTGTTACTTTTATCTTGGATGAAGCTTATGCTTTAAACTTATTTATCTGCACAATTATAAAATGCAATTCTTTCTTGTGGTTCATGAATCATAAGGTTTAAATGTATATGTCAATGGCAAGCTGAAAACATTAAGATATATAGTACATTTTCCAGGAACCAAATTGTTGGCATCTTACAGAGATATCCACATTTTGAAACCACAACTGAATGCCCTGTGGTGATTCCCAGCCAACATCAAGTGCTAACAGGTTTCCCTCCAAATGTAGATCATTGTTCACCTTCTACCACCCATTTGAAAAGCAGATGCATAGAATCTAAATCCAATACAGTAACTCATCTATTCATATGGCTAAAAATTGAAACAGCAACACTCCTTCCCAGCATGCTTTAGTCAGTTATACCTCTTCTTCAGTAGGCAGGCAACAGAATTCCATCTCTTTTTCTGTTTTTTTCTTACAAGTCAAGAAGCCCATTCATAAATTAAGAGACAAGAAATAAGTGACCAAATTTAATTTTTAAAAATTACTTTATTTATTTTTTTGAGATTATAATATACTTATATAATTTCCTCTTTTCCCTTCCCCTTCCCCAAACCTTCCTATATACCCTTCCTTGTCCTCTTTCAAATCCATGTCCTCCTTTTCATTAATTGTTGTTACATACATATATGTGTATGTGTATACATATAGATTCCTAAATATGTGAGTACAACCTATTCAGTCTGTGTAATATTATTCCTATTTATATTTTCAGGGCTGACCATTCAGTAATGAGTAACCATACTGCGGTGGTTTGAAATAAAATAGCTCCCAAAGGGAGTTGCAGCATTAGTAGGTGTGGGTTTGTTGGAGTAGTTGTGGCCTTATTAGAGAAAGTGTGTCATTATGGGGGTGGGCTCAGAAGTCTCTTTTGCTCAAGCTATACTCTGGGTATGGTACACACCTTCTCCAGATCCTTCTCCAGTACCATGTCTGCCTATGTGCTGCCATGCTTCTTGCCATGATGGTAATGGACTAAACTTTTGAAATGTAAGCCAGTCCCAGTTAAATGTTTTGTTTTTTTTTTTTTTTTTTTTACAAGAGGTTCCATGGTCATGGTGTCTCTTCACAGCAGTAGAAACCCTAACTAAGACACCAATTAATGTGCTTTTTCCCAAGGTAGACTATTTCTTTTGCGCTCAGTATCCCTTAGTTGACTGTAGGGTTTTTTTTGTTGTTGTTGTTGTTTTTTTTTTTTTTTTTTTTGTAGTGTTGAAGCCTCCTGGGCTTTTCCCCTACTAGCTGATTTTGCTGAGAAAAAGGAATTTTTAGACCTGAAGTTATTATTAGCTGATATGCATACATAGTCATTTAATGCTATTTACCTCGCTCTAGATATGCCAAGGATAATGGATATTACTTTCAAGATTAGTCCTTTTCATTAAGTAAATAGAAAAAATTAACTTAGGTTTTGAAATAATTGTGAGTGATTGCAGAAACTAAAGGAATTTATTCTCTTGGGGTATTTTAAAAGAAAGACAGCACCTAGGAGACATTATTACATAGTTGACTAACAGAATCATAGTTACTAAAGGGTAGATAGAAGAAATGAAAGACATTAGTCGTATTGAATCTATATTTACACAATAGAAGTTAGAGTAGGCTGCAATCAAATGCTCAGATAATCTTAGAACAACTGGCATTGCCTTGGAATCTGCTGCATAACCTCCATTTCCTACTGTCTGAGTTAGGATTTTCATTACTGTGAAGAGACACTATGACCAGTGAGTCTTATAAAGAAAAAATTTTAAATTGAGGTGGCTTTCATACAGTTTCGGAGGTTCAGTCCATTATGCTCTTGATGGGGAGCATGGCAGTGTGCAGGCAGACATGGTGCTGGAGCTGAGAGTGCTACATCTTGCCACAACAGGAAGTTGACTGAGACACTAGGTGGTATCTTGAGCACAGGAAACCTAAAGCCCACCTCCACAATAACAAACTTCTTCCAACAAGGCCATACCTACTTCAACAAAGCCACACCCCCAAGAGTGCCACTTCCTATGGGATTAGGAGGGACAACTACATTCAAACTACCAAACCCACTTCTTTCATAATGGGGAATCAAGAACATATTTCTTTGGGTGCTAGTGAATATTAGATTATTGGAGTAAAACTCAGAGCAATGTATTCTACATTGCTAACTTTGCATTTAAGTTATATTATTTTTCCTAAAATGAGGTTGTTTTATTAAAGTGAAATTAATCATTAATAAGTTAAACCAGAAGGGGAGTTTCCTGAAATGTTACATTTTTCAAAACAGAGCTTTGGTTAAGTTAAAATTGTGGAATTGTTTTTCAAAAGATGCATTTAGCTAAGTAATTGTGAGAATTGAAAGCAAAGCTTTAAGAATAATGTTTTATGATTTCTGAGTGTCATCTGAGGTTTGGGACAAGGATTGGTACAGCAATTATAGAGAGCTGAAATACTCAAAGAGTGATAGTTTCTAGGTCATGTCTGTAGCAGATGCTTATTATGAAACTAAAGTAACAGAAAACGTCTGAATTTTCTAGATTTGCTTTATTTTTAAGGAGTTGTCTGCAACTTTGTTAAATGTGTAAAGATTGCTGTCCTTGAGTGGAAGGCTCTCAAAATACAATGAAATGATTACTTTGTAACTTTAATATACTGCAGTTTTATTGTTCTTTTTTTTTTTTTTTTTTTTTTTTTTTTTGGTTTTTGGTTTTTTGAGACAGGGTTTCTCTGTGTAGCTTTGAGCCTTCTTCCTGGAACTCACTTGGTAGCCCAGATTGGCCTCGAACTCACAGAGATTCGCCTGGCTCTGCCTCCCAAGTGCTGGGATTAAAGGCATGTGCCACCACCGCCCGGCTAGTTTTATTGTTCTTTATTTTATTTTACTTTTCTTGTATATCCTATTTGAAACCACAAACAACATTGTTAACTTTTTAACAAAATGTATATATCAGATCTTTGGATGGTTCCTTTCCAAGTGCCTGGCTTATTCCTTCCTGGGTGTCCTTAAAACTCAATTTATTGATAATTTTAATCAAATCAGAGGTATTAAATAATGTGTGAGCAAATGTTGAAATTCATTTAAAGAATTAAGTTTTCACCCTGGAACTGACTACAAAAAAGTAATAATGAGGCAGAAAAACAAAGCATTGAAGAAAATTGGGAAAATAATTGATGTTGTTTAACATACTTTACAATTATATGTCTTTGTAATATGCACACTAATTGGTAAAAACATACTAATTGGTAGAAACATTTTTTTCATCAATCTTCTCTTTACTAACATAATGATTGCTAGAAGATTCATCTAGACCACTCCGATTTTGGTATTTCCCCTTCCAAGTAACCATTATTTTGACCTTTAAATCTATGAATTGCACTTGCAGCTTGGGCCACCAGCCCCAGAAGGATGATTGCTGTGAAATAATGCTTTTGTACACTGGTTTAATAAAATGCTGATTGGCCAGTAGCCAGACAGGAAGTATAGGTGAGATAAGCAGACAAGGAGAATTCTGGGAAGAGGAAGGCTGAGTCAGGAGTCACCAGCCAGACACAGAGGAAACAAGATGACAAGGCAGAACTGAGAAAAGGTACCAAGCCCCATGGCTAAACAAAGATAAAAAATTATGGGTTAATTTAAGTATAAAAGCTAGTCAGTAATAAGCCTGAACTAATGGCTGAACAGTTACAAATAACATTAAGCCTCTGTGTGATTATTTTATAAAAGGCTGCAGGACTGTGGGTGAGAGATTTGTCCTGGCTACAGCCAGGCAGGACACAGGAAATCTTCCAACTACAGATGATGTATTCAGACTACTCAATAACAAATGACTCTTCCATACCTCCTAGTCTAATTATCCCCCTTGTTAATTGTGACTTTCCCAAAAAGCTCGTCTGGGATAAGAAACAGGGAAAGGGGAGGAAGTGAGTAATGAGCTATGATTCCTTTATGGTCAGAATAAAATCTAACCCTATAATAAAATGTTCAAAAAATTCCAGTTCTTTGGATAGTGTTACCATTGAAACATACTGCATATAAGCTGAGGAGTGGCTGAGGACACTGGCTGCTTTTCCAGAAGACCTGGGTTTGATTCCCAGCATCTGCATGGCAAAGCACACTTTTCTGTAACTCCAGTTCTTTCTAATGCCTTCTTCTGATCTCTGTGGACAGGACACACCTAGTGCATAGACATATAGGCAGGCAGAAGACTCATACACTTAAAATAGTAAAATTAAAAAAATAAAGAAGCATATGACTCAGAGTGACATGGGATATGGAAGTTAGAGTGAGGAAACCAATTATATAAAAAAATGAGAGTAAATTCTAAAATATCACTGGGAAAAGTACACAAAATCACTAAAGAAAAAGAAATCCATGACTTTAAAAATAGCTATCAAACAAAACAAGCAAACAACAACAACAACAACAAAAAAGTAAAAGAAAAGGAAATATGTTTCTCTGACAGGCTCGATGGACAGTTTAGTTCAGTGCTTATTCAGATGGCCCTGGTTAAATAAAATGGATCACAGAGCTAAACCAAAAGCTATGAACCTGGGAAAAAGAGAGGGAAGGGAAAGTGAGAATTAACAGGGGTGATAGCGACATAAGAAGAGGTGAGGACCATCACAGCGCATCATGTACATGGATGAAATTGTCAAAGAACTGACTTAATTTTTAAAGACATTAAAAAAACAAAACAAAACACCACCACCACCAAAGTGTCACCCAATAAGCCACAAGTCTGCAGAATGAGTCATTTAGGTAAAGATACTGTTTCATCATTGTTCAGTACTTCTCTTTCATTATAATAAAATGAAGGAGTTTTTTTTTTCAGTCCAAGTGGATGTGTAGACATTAGAGACTGCATGTTGACAAAGTGAATAAATAAAGACGCTTGATTTTGAGAAAAACTGAGGTAATTTTTTTTAAGTTCTGATTCAATTGTTAAAATTCAAAGTGGTTGGTACCTACCACCAATAACATGAGGTTGTAGAATAAAGAAAAGAGTATATTTAATGAGATTTGGACATATTTATCTCAAAATAAGTAAGAATGCAGAATCATAAAGGCACATCTTTATAAAAATTATATTTATTAACATATTAAAATATCAATATGCTTATCTGCATCTATATTAATAGGAATGGTTACTGGAGAAACCAAGTGGCATAATTACAGAAAATGATCAAGTCAGAAGAGAAGGGTCACATGGTAGCCAGGCAACCACCATGTGGGGATAGGGCTCAGCTATGATTTTTTAGGAATAAGGTGATGGGCAGGCATGGCTTTTCTATTCTTTGGGATGAAATTCCCAAATAAGCATTGTGGATCTTGGTGGCTGTCAAAAGGAATTCATTAATAAAGTAAATAGTATAGTCAAGCATGATTTGTGCAAGTGGTGACAGATGTCATAGGGACAAATTGAAGCAGTGTGGAAATACCCACTGAGGACTGGAGAGGAGGAGAGGAGGGGACTCCCTCATATCTGAAGCATGGACTGTGGAACTGCTAAATAGCAGAGTGAGACTCAGAAGGCCATCAGGCCTTCATCAGGCATGGGAATAGCAAAAGCAGGTGCTTTTGTAGGACTTCCTCTGGTTAGCAGTGTCAGTAACTGGCTGCATGAGGAATGCTGAGAAACAAGATGGTTGAACAGGTTTTGAAGCCATGACTGAATTTTATAAGATTGTGTTGTTTTGAAAAGATTATATACATATGTATGTATATGGTCAGTATGAGGTGTCGAGTCTTGGGACATATCAGGCATCCAATGTCCAGCTCTTTTTACTATATTCAGTAATCCTTTGTTATCTGTTGGTGGCTGGCTCCAGGAGCCTTCTATAGATACATAATCTTCAGTCCCTTTCCTAAATGGCATAATGTTTGCATATAATCATAAACATCTACTAATGTATGCATTAAACCTTCTCTAAATTATTTATACTATATATATTTTACACTATATATATATTTACACTATATATAATATATTATATATATAATATACTGTAAATACTAGGTGGGTAGTTGTTGTCTGCACAAACTCAACACTGACATTTTAAATATTATTTTAGTATCGGGACCCCACAGATGCAGAATTTGTGAGGGGTAAGGCTGTGGCTGTACATACACATAAATGTGAAGGCACCTAATCCTGTGATCCTTAAAGTTCTTTGTATAAAAAAAACACATTCTTACCTATTTTCTTTCTTCCAGGAATCATGTACTTGGCAAGTTTGACACACCTATAGTGTAATTAGAAACCAGATGTGAAATGCCTTTTGTTTCTCTTAGGGAAGATTTGCTCTGAGTTAACATCGCCTCTATTGTATCTTTAAAAGTGTCTTCTTGCCTCAGCAGGATTTCATATAATCTGAAGTGCAGGCAAAAAGTGGAAAATAATGACCCAAACAGCAAAATGGCATTTAAGCTTAGCTCCATTACATTACTTAAGGTTCCTCTAAGAATAATAGGCACCAAAATAGCACAAAACTACCTCGACATTAAGGGATCATCCAATATTCATTACCCTGGCTAAAATAATGCATAATGGAAGCTTTCAGCATTTTTAACACCAGCACACTTTTGGTTTGGCTGATAGCTTTGGTGCCATTGTTTATTCAAGTCTAACAACTTTGAAGTAGATAATACATATCATTAAACTATTATCTGCATGTCTGTAGAATCCACCCGCTTTTGAAAGGTCTAGTAGCTTAGACATTTCAATTAGATTAACCATTTTGAGTCCTTCTCTATACAGTTATTTGAAGTATCAGAAAACCAAAACAAAATTAATTTGTTTAACTCTAAGTTGCCTTTTCATTCTCAAACCAAAGAAAACAATTGGAGAGATGACTATGTGACCCAAACCTATTACTTAGTAACAACCAAGTCACAGCTGTGATTTCAACTCAGGTTCAGTGCCTGTCATATTAAACATAAGAAAGAGGTCACACCAAATAATGACCCCCTGCTCCTCACTTCTTATGTCTAACAAAGGAAAGAAAGCAATAACAGACTGCCAGTCAAGTTCATTAAACCTCGCTGTTAAGTTGTACAGACCATGCCGTGTAGATGGATAGTAAGTAAGCAATGAAGCGTTTTTCAGCCTCAGGATTGTAAACTCTAATAGATCAACACTGTTTACATGTTTGCTACTCACGAGTCAACTCCTTAACATATGAAGAAATCCTGAAGCTTTAAACTCTGTTTTAGGTGTGCTCTGGCACATCTGTGCTATAGATGGTATTTCTCAGTAGGGAAGACAGGGAGAAGCTTCTGCTCTGGCATTTCTTTTGTTGCATGAGAAGAGGTTTACACTGTCTCTGGACACTGTATAGGGAAACAGAGGCAAGGAAGGAATCAAAATAAAGAGAACAGGTCAGTTTTGTAGAACAAATGAGAAAATAATGAGATGTTGAGACAGTAACAACAAAGACAAACTCAAACAAAATTCTAGCATGGAGAGGAGAAGTGAGCCTAACCATCCGACACCTAGATAAGGGTCTATTGGCCATTAATAGGTTCTGGGACAAGGAACAGCAGTGTTCTTTAAGCAGAGAGCCCCACATCATATGTCTGTGCTCCAGTGAAAAGGCCACACATCCAGAAGTATAGGGGCAGCATGAACTGATTTGGATTTTTTTTTCAAAACAGGATGCAACAACGGACAAAGCTTTCTGGGCAGCCGAAGGAAGCAGACACAGAAACCCACAGCCAGACATTATGTAGGGAGAGAGAGAGTGTGTGAATTGGAGGTTCCCCTGAGAACTTGGGAAACCCTGTGGAAGAGGGGGCAGAAAGACCTTAGGGATCAGAGGAGATGGAGGATACCGGGAGAACATGACCCACTGAATCAACTGAACAGGCCTCATACGGGCTCACAGAGATGAACAAGGCAAGCACGGGACCCACACGGGTCTGCACCAGGTCCTCTGTCTGTATGCTTTGGCTGTTAGCTTGTTGTTTGTCTGGGTCTCCTAAGAGTGGCAGCTAGTGTTTCTTTGATTCTTACCTGCTCTTGGGACTCTATTCCTTTTATTGGGTTGCCTTGTTCAGGCTCAGTGTGAGGGCTTTTGCCTGGTCTTATTGTATTTTTGTTGCTGTTGTTGCAGTGGTAGTAAAACAAACAACCAAACAAACAAAAAACCTATTTGTTTATATCAAAAAAAAATAAAAAAGAGGATACAATTTTGGGTGAGCAAGGAAGGTATGATAGATCTGGAAGAAAAGACTAATAAAAAATAAAGCAAAGATGAACTCAGTTCAGGTTCCAAATATATGAATCTATCACCTTGGGATATCTTGGTAGTGGCCAACCAATGACTGGTCCAACTCAAGGTCTACACCATGAGAGGGATCCCAGGCTTGGCACTGCATGGAGGGTCAGACCCAGAGACTGGATAGTCCAAAGACCTTAGATAAAACCAAACACAAGTTGTAACTGAAAGTTTTTCTGTGTCCTGGCTGGCTGGCGGTTGGGACAAATCTCTCTCACCTTCGTCTTGCAGTTGCTTATAAAATAATCACTGCTTGACCATTAGCTCAGGCTTACTATTGACTAGCTCTTACACTTAAACTCAGCCCATTTCTGTTAATCTATATGTTGCCACGTTTTCTGTGGCTTTACCTGTGTGCCATTACATGCTGCTCCCTGGGCGGTGGGCTGGTGTCTCTTGACTCTGCCTTCCTCTTCCCAGAATTCTCCTTGTCTGCCAATACTTCCTGCCTGGCTATTGGCCAATCAGTGTTTTCTTAAACCAGAGTACAAAAGCATTATTCCATAGCAACAACTGGCCAAAAAAGTCAATGAAATGATGATACTCTGCTACATTCATAGGCCAGAGCCTAGTCCAATTGTCATCAGAGAGGCTTCCTCCAGAAGTAGGTGGGAGCAGATGCAGAGATCCACAGCCAAACATTGGGCAGAGCTCACGGAACCCCACTGATTAGGGGGAAGAAGAACTGTGAGAGACAGAGGGCTTGAGGACGCAAAAGAACATGGTCCACAAATCAACTAACGAGAAGTTATGGCGCTCGTGGGGCTCCAGGAGACCGAAGTGACAGTCATGGAGCCTGTGTAGGTGTGAGCTATGTCCTCTGCTTATATGTTATGGTTGTGTAGCTTGGTGTTCTTGTTGGACTCCTAAGAGTAAGGGTGTAGGTTGTCTCTGACTCTTTTGCCTGCTCTCGGGACCTTTGTCTCCTACTGGGTTGCCTCATCCAGTCTTGATATGAGGGTATGTGGGTATGTGCCTAGTTTTATTGTAATTTGTTACACTGTGTTTGGTTGATATCCCTGAGAGGTCTGTTCTTTTCTAAAAGGAAATGGAGGAGGAATGGATCTACAGGAGAGGGGAGATGAGAGGAGGGTCTATGAAGAGAGGAAGGAGGGGAAACTGATCAGAATGTAATACATGACAGAAGAATAAATGAAATAAAGAATGCATATATATATATGTATATATATATATATTAGACATAATAACAGAAAAAAAGAATACCAAAAGCTCTGACAATGTTATATTCATCAATCGTAAATTCTTCTTTGCTTATAAAAGGTTAGCATCAGGTCTTGCTATTGCACAAGGTCTTATTTGTTCAAGACCTTCAAATTCATGACTCCTGATAATGTGGGATATTGTTCAGATTAATAGAATACATCGTCAGATTGTTTGGAAACTTAGTGAGAGCAACTGTGTACATGGTAAGGTCAGAGCATAAAAGCTTGGAAACTCTTAGCTGAATTCAGTTGATCCACAAGAACATGTTTGTTGGGCAATGCCATTATTAGCTTAAGTTACTTGTTTGCACATACTGATCTTGTGTATATGTCTCTACAAAACCATACAACACAAAGCATCCTGGGCTGCCAGAGTTTATTTTGATAGTTTCAACCTCAAATATGAGATCAATGAATGCTAGGTCTACTGTAAAGTACTACGTCCCCACAGACATTTAATGAAAATTCATTTTCTATCTCACAAATCAGTTTGTGACTAATTTAACATTCTTTGGAAGATTATATAATCCATAGCAAACAGTAATATTTTAGAAATATTACTTCCTTGTAATATTTGTGTGGAATAGAAGTGTGTGGGGGTCAGTCAACTCTCTTGCTCTCAAGCCCTCAGGGCTGGATCACCTGTACCCCTGCTCCCCAACAACAACAGGGTCAGCTCTACTGTGCATCCTGGGTGAGGTGCTGGGCCTGCTCTCCTGAGTGCCGCAGCCAGAATTAGCTCTCTCACTCTTGTGACCCATAGATGAGGGAAAGATGCCCTCTCTCCTTTCCTCTTGCTACCTGAAGCAGGAGGAAAATCTGGCTTTGGAGTCAAGGCTGCAGCACATAGGACAATGTGCCCTGTACATCACCCAGGCAGTACACTATTGGTGGGAACACAGGTAAGGCAGCTCTGAGGGCATGAGAGCAGGAGAGCTGGTTATGCTTCTCACCAACTGCAGCACTTGGGAGAGCAGGCCCTGGACCTTGCTTGGTTGAAACAGTAGAGCTGGCCCTCGTGGTATGGATGGGGGTGAGCTGGACCTGACTGAGAGTGTGAGAGAAAGAGAACTGGCCCAGCTCCATGCTGTCTGATGCATTGGGTGAGCTAGTTGGGATAGTGCTGGAGAGCTCACCTGGGTGGTAACAATGAGGGAAAGCTGGCAGGCTGACTAACCCAGCTACTACCAGGCCTAGAACCAGAGTTATGAGTCAGCCCACCCCAACATTCATCTCATCTGTGAACTATTGTTGGAGCATGTAAAGGAGCCAGACATGTGGATCTAATGCTGCAGGATTTCCATGATAGAAGGCAACAACAGGATATCCAAGAAAAATCCAAGTGAGGGACCAGTATTGAGAGTGTAACAGAAGCCAGAGGCCTTGAACCAGACCAATGACTCCTTGCATTAAGTACTTACAAGTAAAGATGTATGCACTAAAAAAACAACAACAAAAAATTACTTCTTAAAAGATGAAAAGGCACTGATATTGGTAAAAGGTCTATTTAGATTCTGTGATGATATTCTCTGCATAGAACAATTTTGCTTCTATATTCACAAATATGTAATACCACATATGTATATACACACATATACCCATATGTACACATCCACCTACATACATTCATACAATATTCACACACATATGCACATACACTTATATATTTAAGCACATTTATGTTTTACTTAAGTGGTGTTTAATATCTGTATCTTAAATACTTTTTTGGTGTAGATGGCTTTTGCCCATGTGCATTTTTAGGATGGGAAAGAAATCCTTGAGGTACACAGTGTATGTTTACTTAACATTAATACCATTTATCTGCCATACATAGCATCACTATCATGAATTCTTAGACTGAGCAATAGTACTTGACACATTTCTCCCATCTAAACATTCAAACATAATTACAGTATTCCCAATAACTACATAGCCTTGTTTGAACATATCTAGATTACTTATTAGGAAACTTTTCTACGCTGAGCATCAGAAGTCTGAGGATTCTTAGGTCTGGACTCAAGCTGCCAGCCTCAACTCTGAGCCTTTTCCTGTTGTGATGAAAGTGTGAAGATGGATAACCACCAAGAGACCTGGCTCAACTCCTTCATGAATAACTTATTCAGATCACTTGAGAACCCTTGCAAATCTCATAGTGTTTGTGCTGTTTGGAAGCTTTTCCTTGAATCCAGCTGAAATGGATCCTTCTGTAACTTTGGTTTCTTATCCTGAGTCTCAGTGAAAATCTGCATTTGCAAAGGGCTCAGGAGCAAGATCTAAATTCCTATAGCTGTATGACTTAATAGCCTGTTGATGGGAGTGAAGTCAGCCTTTGGCTCTTCTTATCGAACCCGAAACAAAAGGGGATGTGAAATGCACTCTCTGCTGGGTTGCCCTAACTGTTATATGTGATGGAGTAAGCTCCCATCAGTAGGCATGGAAATCACCTGGAATGTCCAGATGGTTCCTCAGAATAGAGGTTTCCAAAAGACCACTGCTAGGCATATGTGTGCGGTTAGAATGTTTAACCTTCATAGTCTTTAATCATGCAGCATTATGTGAAATGCCACTGGCTGAATGACTTGATTGAGTGTTTTGGGACTGTAGCGTTTCCAAACTCCTGACCACCACCAGAGGTTTTGCAGCCATTGAAAATGTGGCCCCCATGGTCAGAATGCTTTGTTATTGGTCTATGAGAAAAGAGGGCAAATGGGAGTCAGTCTTCATATTATACTGCACAGACATAAAGGACACTGATCACACACTGGGCATAGAGGAAGAAGGGGAAAGAGGAGGAGGATTGAGGCAGGAAGGAAGGAGAGATGAGGAGATG